AAAATCCTAGTGTTTTCATAAATAAAGGTATGCTACATGAACTAAATTTAGCAATAACTTTAAGTAGTTTAAACAGATTTGAAGAAGCTTTAGACTATTATGATTAGGCAATTTAAAAAAATTCCGACGATTATAGTGTTTTTCTGAATAAAGGTAAGTCATATGAACTAAATTTAGCAAATACATTAAGTAGTTTAAACAGATTTGAATAAGCTTTATAATATTATGATTAAGCAATTTAAAAATATCCTGAAAACTATGAAGCTTTTGAAAATAAAGGTAAGAATTCATTTTATGAATTCAATTTAGCAAATACATTAAGGAGTTTAAACAGATTTCAAGAAGCTTTAAAATGTTATGATATGGCGATTAAAGTAAATCCTTAAAATCCGAGTGTTTTTGTTAATAAAGGTATGTTATATAAACTAAATTTAGCAATAACTTTAAGTAGCTTAAACAGATTTGAAGAAGCTTTATAATATTATGATTATGCAATAGAAAAGGATCCTGAAAACTATGAAGCTTTTAAAAATAAAGGTAAGAATTTTTTTTTTTAAATTAATTTAGCAAATACATTAAGGAGTTTAAACAGATTTCAAGAAGCTTTATCATATAATGATTAGGCAATTTAAAAAAATCCTGAAAATCCTAGTGTTTTCATAAATAAAGGTATGCTACATGAACTAAATTTAGCAATAACTTTAAGTAGCTTAAACAGATTTGAAGAAGCTTTATAATATTATGATTATGCAATATAAAAAGATCCTGAAAACTATGAAGCTTTTGAAAATAAAGGTAAGAATTCATGAATTATATTTAGCAAACACATTAAGGAATTTAAACAGATTTGAAGAAGCTTTATCATATAATGATTAGGCAATTTAAAAAAATCCTGAAAATCCTAGTGTTTTCATAAATAAAGGTATGCTACATGAACTAAATTTAGCAATAACTTTAAGTAGCTTAAACAGATTTGAAGAAGCTTTATAATATTATGATTATGCAATATAAAAAGATCCTAAAAACTATGAAGCTTTTGAAAATAAAGGTAAGAATTCATGAATTATATTTAGCAAACACATTAAGGAATTTAAACAGATTTGAAGAAGCTTTATCATATTATGATTAGGCAATTTAAAAAAATCCTGAAAATCCTAGTGTTTTCATAAATAAAGGTATGCTACATGAACTAAATTTAGCAATAACTTTAAGTAGCTTAAACAGATTTGAAGAAGCTTTATAATATTATGATTATGCAATATAAAAAGATCCTAAAAACTATGAAGCTTTTGAAAATAAAGGTAAGAATTCATGAATTATATTTAGCAAACACATTAAGGAATTTAAACAGATTTGAAGAAGCTTTATCATATTATGATTAGGCAATTTAAAAAAATCCTGAAAATCCTAGTGTTTTCATAAATAAAGGTATGCTACATGAACTAAATTTAGCAATAACTTTAAGTAGCTTAAACAGATTTGAAGAAGCTTTATAATATTATGATTATGCAATATAAAAAGATCCTAAAAACTATGAAGCTTTTGAAAATAAAGGTAAGAATTCATGAATTATATTTAGCAAACACATTAAGGAATTTAAACAGATTTGAAGAAGCTTTATCATATTATGATTAGGCAATTTAAAAAAATCCTGAAAATCCTAGTGTTTTCATAAATAAAGGTATGCTACATGAACTAAATTTAGCAATAACTTTAAGTAGCTTAAACAGATTTGAAGAAGCTTTATAATATTATGATTATGCAATATAAAAAGATCCTAAAAACTATGAAGCTTTTGAAAATAAAGGTAAGAATTCATGAATTATATTTAGCAAACACATTAAGGAATTTAAACAGATTTGAAGAAGCTTTATCATATTATGATTAGGCAATTTAAAAAAATCCTGAAAATCCTAGTGTTTTCATAAATAAAGGTATGCTACATGAACTAAATTTAGCAATAACTTTAAGTAGCTTAAACAGATTTGAAGAAGCTTTATAATATTATGATTATGCAATATAAAAAGATCCTGAAAACTATAGAGCTTTGGAAAATAAAGGTAAGAAATTTCGTTATGAATTCAATTTAGCAAATACATTAAGTAGTTTAAACAGATTTGAAGAAGCTTTATATTATTATGATTAGGCAATTTAAAAAAATCCTGAAAATCCTAGTGTTTATTTCAATAAAGGTAAGAATTTATTTAATTTAGCAAATACATTAAGTATTTTAAACAGATTTGAAGAAGCTTTATAATATTACGATTATGCAATATAAAAGGATCCTGAAAACTACAGAGCTTTTGAAAATAAAGGTAAGATTTTTTTTATGATTTCAATTTAGCAAATACGTTAAGTATTTTAAACAGATTTTAAGAAGCTTTAAAATATTATGATTAAGCAATTTAAAAAAATCCTGAAAATCCTAAGGTTTATTTCAATAAAGGTAAAGAGTTCATTTCTATTTTTAGCAAATACATTAAAGAGATTAAACAGATTTGAGGAAGCTTCTTAAAATTTTTAATTATAATAGCACTTTGAAAAGGAGTAATCCTCAAAAAAAATAATATGACTTGCTTATTAGCCAATTTTAAAAAAATCATTTTAACATTTTTGTTTTTTTTTTTTACATTTATTAAACTTAATTTTAGGGATTTTACCCAAAAGTAGATTTGTCTCAAAAGCCATAAGATGTTGTATTTTTTTAATTTCTTCTATTTTATTGTGTGTATATTAAAATACAATTTAATTAACATCAATAAAATAAATACTTTTGATATATAAATAAATTACAAATAAATGCATAATAATAGATAATTAAAAGAATAAAACAATTTTATATTTAAAATGATTATAATTTATTAGATATTTTAATATAATTGATTCACTTTTTTCATTATGATTTTTTTTATTAGACAGATCTTGGTGTAGTAAGAGTTTTAAATGATATAGGTTTTGACTGCATTTTTGCTTTGATATTATTGGTTATTTAATGACAAGTCTTAGCTCCAATATTCCTAGTTGAAAGTATATTGTTATTTAGTTTTCTAAAAGTTTATTTTAATAATGAATTACCTTGATGAACTATCATGAAAAGTTTAGGTTTTACCTGCTTTGCTATATGATTTAGGTGTCATTTTGGAAGTACATTAAGTTTTCATATTTCTAGGAGATTTAAAAAAGTTCTCTTTTTTGTCTTCACCAAAATGTACACTTTTGATTTCTCTAGATGGATCTTTATTTTATATTAAAGTTCTTTTTTTTTATTAGATCTTTTCATTTACTCTTTTATGTACTTCATAAAAATATAAATTACATTATTCTAAAATTTATTAATGTTTTAATTTTGGTTTAGGTGGATCCAATTCACCACATTAATCAGGATGAATAATTTTCAATTGTCTTTTTTAAGAAGTTATTAATTATTTAATATTTTTTATTTTATCAGTTGTAAGAAGTTATTATAATTTGAATTCTTTAATTATATTATTATCTTATTGTCTTTCAGTTTTTAATTTTTCAATTTTTAAGAGTTATTGATGTATATCATTATTATTAATTTTCTTACTGATTTTATCCTAATCATGTTTTGAACAAGAAGGTGTATTTTATAATTCATCTAATACATTTCCAACAATGATTCCACTTTCAATGGTATGAGAAGGAGGAGTACTTTCTGTTTAAATAGGTTCATCTCCAACAATTCCTTTTGGAGGTTTTTCAGGATTATTTTTATTTTCTTCATCAATTATTTTCTAAATTTTGTAATATTCAAGTTTCCTTTTTTAATTGTAATATTCATTCAAAATATTTACAATAGAACTAGAGACAGCCCATCTAGGCAAATCATTATGAAACTATAATATTAATTATATATATACTTTGTAAAATTCTGTTAAAACTTCCATTTTATTATCTAAACAATGAGGTTGATATATTTTTTTCATATATTCAACTTCTTCATCCAGCAATATTAAATCCTAATTGAAATATTAATGATATTTACTTTGAATACTATATTAGGCTTAGTTGGTTGATCCAATATTATTTCATTGATATCCTTTGTAAAATAATAATTTTGTGATTCAGCATATTTATTATAAAGAGAATTAGTTATCCTCTCTGGTAAGGATACTTTCTTGATAATTAATTTAATTTGAGTCTACCTTTAAACTGCATTTTCTCGAAGTTATTGCCATATAAAGTCTTCCGAATCGGCTAACAGAAAAGACAATTCATTTAATTAAAAAAATTATTAATAAATAATTAAAAGTAAAAACAATATATCTTCACCTTTCTTCATTTTCTCAAAGCAATGCTATTACTTTTTAACTATTTTTAATTAACAATTTTTCCAGGCTATCTCAAAATCATAGTGATTGATCTTTCTCTTGTTTATTAAACTATTGGAATTTCTTATTATGAACTTTATTTATGAAATGATTGTCGAACAATACAGCCTCTTTTTTATTGCATCTAGGGTCTAGCTAATATATATGATGTCTATTTTACTTGGGATTTGAATTATAAAAAGAACTATTATGATTATGAAAACTATTATTTGTTCTTCTCTTATTAGTAATTTATGAAATCAAAGCAGGTAAATCTAATTCTAGTAATTCTTATGCCATAGATTGATTCTAAAAATTATCAATAGATTAATAACAAGCATTAGGAGCTCTTTTTGTTTACTAAGTTTTTTTGTCTAGATATTTATTATTAACAACTGCTTACATTGATTAGACTTAATTTATTATTGTTAATAAGACTTCTATTTTTGTAAATACTCTACACTCTCATTAACATTCTTCTTACTATTTCCTCTACCTTTTTCAGTTAACTCGGTTATAGTTGTACAAGTATTACGAATTCTATTTTCTTTTTCTTAAAGATTCCATTTATTTAATTATCTTTTTTCACCTTCACTTGTATTAAGTGTGTCGAAGGTGACTGTGTGCTATTTTCTTACTGAATGTGTAGATTCTGGAATTTATTGAAAATTCTAAGGAGTATCGCTGTCAAATAAATTAGGAGCTCTTACACTTAAAATCTATTAGTATTTCAAACATAATTTACTGAGCTATTTTATTAATCAATTTTTCTGAATTCATCTTCGTCTGAAGAAGAGCTGTTATCTGATGAAATATCAAAAACTATGTTTTGTTACATTTTAAATTAAATATTTATAAAATAGCAGTTAATCCAATAATTATCATTTTTTTTGGTTTGAGTAAACAACAACTCAAGTGAGTTTTAGATAAACTTAATCCTTTTTTCATTTTGAAATAATGTCTTTTTAAATATGGATATTATTAAAGCAATGTAAATGAACATGGAATAGTAAATTAATAAAAATTTAAATTAGTGTATCTAAGTTTATATTCTTAAACTGTGGATTTGATATTTTATTATTTATGTAAAATTAATTAGATTAAACTGTAGCCTTGATCAGAATTTAATAGTTAAAATTATTGAATTATTTTTATTTGGTTACTTCTCATATTGATTGTTTTAATAATAATTATTTCGTGAAGTAATTTTTGATGAGATAATACTTGAGTAGGAATACACATTTCTAAAATAATAGATTTAGATAATTTATTGTAAACATTTAGAAACTTTTGAACTCCTTAAGAAGAATGGGCTAAAAATTAAAAAATGTAGGTAAGAGATTTTAAGGTTGACTGTATATTTTGGAAATTAATAAATTGATAAGTAAAATGATAAAGGAGAATATGTATTGTTAATGGCATAATTACAAAGGATTTTAGAGAGATGGAAAGAAGTGTAGGTATTATGAATTGTTGGTATAATACTTAGTTTTTGAATTAGTGAAATGATGGATTTGTTGAAGGAAGTGAGTTTATTTATCTGACAATAATATTTTTGAACTTATCAATCAGGAGATTTATATAAAGAGACTTTTGGAAATCTAATTGTTTAGGTCGAGATGATAGGTTCCACATCTAACGATAAAAATGTGGATACAGAAAATTTTAGTGGTTTTATATAAAACTGTTTATAAATGAAACTATTTCAACGATTATAGATACATTTATGGTATGATATATATTATAATGAACTCATCTTTAATAAAGGAGCGTAAAATGGGGGAATCTAAATAAAAATATTCAAAAAACATAAGCTAGAAAATTGAAATTCACTAATATTGGTAAAATTCAAGAATTATAAGTTAAATCAGTAATCTTTGGAGCTAAAACTGAAAACAGTTAATTATCAAAAAATATTTTTAATAAGTAGAATAAAAAGATAAATCTGCAATTGAAATCACATGTACAATTGATGTTTTATTAAAATAAAATGATTTTAAAATAAAAATTAAGATCGAATTCGATTTAGATTATTAACAAATAAAAATTTGATTAATTGGTAAAATTTTAATGCTTTAGAAGTGGAAGATATAAATTATAGAAAATATAACTATGAAATCAAATCTGATATGATCTTTGTGAATATAGTAATAAAGTTTTTAACTAATCATTATTATTATTATAATCTTTATCTACAAACAGGACATGTATCATTTATTTGAGCCCAAGGTCGAATACAATCTGAATGAAACACATGATTTGGATTGCAGCTCAATTTAACAATAAGATCATCATTGGAATAATTTTATAAACAAATATAACAAGGTTAGAAGCTTGGACTATCTAATTCAGAGTATTTAATTTAAGTTCCTATTAGACGATCTGCTACTATTATTCTTCTAATTTCTTCTTCTCTTCTTTATCTATTAATTCTATATATTAAAAAAGGCATTATCAAACAAATAGCAAGTAAGGCAAGAGCTGTTAAACCTACTACAATCCATCCAAAAATCAATTAGATTACTAAAATCCATTTACTTAGCAATAGAGTATTTTACAGAAAAACTACATTCCCTAAACCAAACATTATGATATAAACAAATTCATTGCATTTATTTAATGCTACATGATTCCCTCTTACTGTAGCCCAAACATCCACTTATTCATTAAATTATTCAACATATTAACCTGAGTCTTCAGAAATATTTTCTACAGTCTTTTTTATTTTGATAACACTAAATAAGTGAAATGAGTATTGCAATAATCTCCAAATTAAATAAAAAATTGATGCCTTTTAATATTCATACAACCAAGGTAATGATATATAACTTATGACAATGATCAATTATATATTTAAGTATAATTAAATTGAACTTAGGGAACTTCTTATCTTGTTACACTATTCATTGATCTCTACTACCCTATCTTAAAGGTTTTCATCGTCCATTTTATTAATTATATAAATTATATATAATATTTAGATATAAAAATATAAGACACAATTAATATATTATAAAAGATCATAAAAATCATTATTACATTTACTTTATCTAATTCAAGTGGGATCAATTTATTTATGATTAATTTGAATATAATAGAAAGATTAAGGAAATACTTTAAATAATTCTATTCACAGATAATTAGCAACAAAATTCTCATTTTTGAAAGTCCTATCGTATGAACTCAATAACCTGAAGAAAATATATTAGTAATCAGATGATTTAGTTTAAATGTTATTGAATAATTTTGGGATGTGTAAATTTAAAATAGTTTATTTTTAAGGAATCGAAGGAAATTCTTTAACCTTTGAAATGAATATTTTAAATTAAATATATATTTTCACTCTGGAAGAGAATTTCTTTCCATATTATTAATATTAACTTTTTCTTCGATTATTTTAATGCTTTTTCAAATAAATCTAGATGAACCTATTATAAGCAATATTATTCAATCTAATCGTAAATTCTCACTTTTATAAATTTAATTCAAATTTTTATTTTATTATTTAAGTAATTTTGCTAAAAAATAACTTATAATTTGTGATTATAAGAATATTAATTGAAAATAAATATTTATTATTCAAATTAAGAAAATCTTGTTAATCTTAATGAATCGACTTTAAAACATTTTTGATTTTATTCGACAGTTTTATTTGTATACAGAAATAATCATTATAATTATCTATGATTTTTTGTGAATCAAAAATGCCATAGTACACAAATAGTAAACTTATTAAATTGATATTTTTTAAAAAAATTTAAATTTAAGTATCAAATCATCCAACCACTTTTTACAGCAACTTCAAATTCTCTATCATCAGTTACACAAAAACTCATTATATGATAATATTGTTCAAATTCTTCTTATGTTACATTGTTTGAATTAAACAATTAATGATGACTATTAAAAGTATCTAAGAAATCTATCAAAACTTCATCATCAGACATTCTTTGTCTAGGTCTAGCGAGAAAATTTTCTAAAGATATATAACATTTAATACTTTTCATTTCTTCAAAATTAGTTGATTGTAATTTTCTGTAAGCCATTTGTACTAGATTTAATCTCCAATTTTAGAATTCCCCTAAAATCTTTTCTAGGAAGATTTTCATGGAAATTTCATTTTCTATAAAATTATTGTGATATAAGATACTTTGATTTAAAAGTTATCGAATATATTACTGATTGACTTAAATTCTTATTGAATTGAAAGCATTATATATCCCTTATGCATCATATCTAGTAACATTTCTTAACATATATATAATTCCTCTATATCCTTTTAATTTTAATTTCTCTATTACATTATCAATTTTTTATAATTATTATTGGGCATAAGTTAATCCAGCAGGAATAATATTTTATTATTTTTAATTTTATTAACTACTTAATGGTCTTAATGCAGTGCTGTAATCAGTTTTTTCAGCACTTGTACCAAATGGTGCATATTAAGCTACACTAGTAATTTATTATTAAGGTGGTCTCACATAAGTAAAAACATTGATCAAATTGTTTTCAAATTATTCAGATTAACAAGCGTAAAGAATATGACAATATTCATAGAATTCTGAGAATGTAACACTTTTACTTCCCATTTTATGATGAGCATCATAAGAATCCAAAAATTCAGCAAGTTATTCAGTTTCACTTTTTAATTGTTTTTTAACATCAGGATGATTTCTAGCTTGATAACATTATTTTAATAATTAATATGGAATAATACCATCCATATCAATGTCCATTTATTCAAATATTTATTTAACAAGATTTGTTTAGTCAAAAGGTCCTAGCAATTCAATAAAGAAATCTTGAATATTTACTCCTCCTATTTATTATGGAAATCTGTAATCTCTCAAAACTTTTTAAACTTATTTTTCAGTCAAATAACCATCTTGATCATCATCTGCTTAAATCAACAGTTTTTTTAAATTAATAAGAGCTTTTGGACCTTTTTTAACAAGTGCTTTTCTTAATTCAGTCAAATCTACTTCATTAAAATCTAATTTTCTTATTGGAGTATAAATAGTGCTTCTTTCTCCTAACCATTAAGCTTTGATATTTCCTAGTTCTAGAATGTGATTAAATTCATCAAATTAATTTTAGGATAACAATTTTATATTCTTGAATTTCATATAACTTTATAAATATTTTCTAATTTTTGTCTTATCACCTTTAAACATTTCAATTATTTAATCCATATTAAAAGAGTCAACTTTAAAACCACTTGGTTTAACAACTCCTCTAAATGCTTCTACTACCTCTTCAATTTTAACAAGATTATTTTAATTGAAATATTAAAATAAACCTCTAATTTTTTCTTCAGGATATTAATAAAATAAGTATTTAAATTGTGCATAATTATACTCTTTAGAATGCAATTGATCAAGCCAATCAAAAAACATGTCTAACCCATTTTCCCACATTTTTTTTTAAAAGTAAAATACAGCTGATTCTGGTGATTAATAAACTCTTGATATAAAATTCTTGTAATTCAATTAACCATTTTACTGATAATATTTGAATAAAGAAGCAATTTACTATTGAATATTAAAATGATATACATCTTTTGGAAGTGTGATACCAACCTTTTCTAATACGGCTTCAAATTGTTATTAATTAACAATATTTGATTATTTCAAGTCATAATATTAAAATGATTTTAATAGTGTTTGTTCTTCATGGGGGGATTTAAGACTCAGTTTTTTCTTTAGTTCACTCTCAAATTAAGCTCTGGATTCTGCCATTCTAAAACTATAACAGAATTAATAATAATAAAATTTTATTTTGATATTTTTTACATATAACATTTATTATAATTTGTTTCTATCTAAATTTCTATTGAGGAATAAAATATATTTATTATACAAATTTATATTCGAATTCTTAGATTGAATTACTAATTATTTTAATTATGAGTAAATTATAAACATTATTTAATTTTAATTAGTTGAATTCAATGAATTAAAAAGAGGAGGATTTTATTAAGAGAATGAAGTTATAAGAAAATAAATTTATCTTTTTAACTGAATAAAGCAAATTATTAATAAAAGAATAAGATTCAGAATGTGAACAATAAATTAATTTTCCTAATCCAGTATATGATGCTATGTTTTATAATGATTTGTTGATTGCCTCAATAAGAAATATGCCTGTAAGTATTTAAAAATAAAATAGATAGATTGTTATATATAAAAAAGAAGATAATGAATGGAAACAATCTATGAGATTACATGATATTAAACCTAATTCGGAATAATTTTTAGCTCCATTAGATATGAAAAAATTGAGTGTAAAAATGATAATTTATTGTAATATAGGAAAGTAACAATATAATTGGATGTGGTAAAGGATTTCTACACGAGTATGATTTATCTAAATCATAGATCATAAATTATAAAAGCATTAAAAATTATGAATATATATCATGTGTAGATTGTTGTGAGTAAAATGAAAATTATGGTATTGCTAAGAATATACTATTGTTGGGGTAATTCAATAAAATAATAAAAATTGTTGATACTTAATAAGATAAATAAATTGCTGAAGCAAAAGTTCATATTGGTGGAATAACGCATTTAAAATTTGATAAGTTGGATTCATTATTTTTTTACTCTTGTGCAAGATTTGATGATTACATTTATTAGTGGGTATTATCTATTAATAAATAAGGATTTAAGAAATACAAGCACATTTTTGTAATATTTTGAAAGAAAGAATCAAACAAATTAAAGAATGAATTTTGACATAAATCGCAAAAGAGAATTGCTAATTGGGAATGATGATGGAACTACCTATGTTTATAAAAGTGATTTGAAAAGATTTGAATTTTCTATTTCAAATTCATGTGTCCATTCAAGCGTCATTCAAGATGATGGTTAGTGTTATGTGAGTTTTGGATAAAGAACTTTTAATGAGTAAAAAATATTTCAAACCGGAATATAAAATTTCACAATCAATTCATGATATTTGACATTTTTTAACATAAATTTAATGTAATAAGAGAAATCAATTCGTAAACATATAATCTTGCCCAAAGTTGAGGGTTGCATTAAATTAGAGATTGAAACTCAATTAGATTCTCCAAAAAGAAGTACAATTACATCTTAATCAAAGGAGAGTGGGCTTATACCGCTCGATCAGGAGGATCTAATGGAATAGGGAGTTGTAATGCTATTACTACTATCACGATATCTTCAGGTAGAAGAATTCAATTATATACGCCAATGTAAGAAAGTAAGAGGGCTTAGAGATTAAAAAATATTCCTTATGAGTTATAATACTTCCAAACTAGTTTACCAACAAAAAGCTTTAAATCTAGTCATCTTATGAATCAAGAATTGCTTAAAAAACCAAAAGAATAAATTGACAATTAATAGAGATGGTATTTACATTCACACTTTAATAAAATGAACCTAGCTTTGACATAGTATCAAATTAAAAGATTTGAAAGATCTTTAAAAAAAACGGAATCATTAGATGATGTAAATATGATAAAGAAATAAAATGAGGAAAATATTGAGAAGGAAAAATAAAAAGTATTACTATATTTAGATTATAGAGAAATACATAATACAAAAAAGCAACTCAAAATCTAATACATTCATTTACAAAAAAATTTAACATTAAGGCATTATATAACGATCTTTAACCAACCTAATAATGATTTTAAACTGTGATTATATATTTATATTAAGTTCTTATTTTTAATTTACAATCATTTAGATTAAGTAGAGAATAATTTAATTCATAATTGAATTTATAATTTATGATTATAAATAACTGAAATACAATTTTAAGATTTAAAATACTTCATATGAACTAAGCATTTAGGAATCCAAGAATCTTTTCTTTTTAAGCAATCAATGATTTATTAAATAAAAGGTTAATATGTTGATCAAAGTCATTATAAAAAATAGAGTAAATAATTTATTGAAAGATTTTGAGCAAAGTTTAGTCAAAAAAATGAAAGTATTCTTTCAATATTTTTTTATGATCATTTTCTTCAGACTTATTTCAAGAATAGACTGTTTATACAAAAATGGAAAGCTACTACATTATCAGTAATATTAAATATAGAAATGAGGATCTTAACTCTTTAAAAACAACAGTACTAATATCATTNTAAGAGAAATCAATTCGTAAACATATAATCTTGCCCAAAGTTGAGGGTTGCATTAAATTAGAGATTGAAACTCAATTAGATTCTCCAAAAAGAAGTACAATTACATCTTAATCAAAGGAGAGTGGGCTTATACCGCTCGATCAGGAGGATCTAATGGAATAGGGAGTTGTAATGCTATTACTACTATCACGATATCTTCAGGTAGAAGAATTCAATTATATACGCCAATGTAAGAAAGTAAGAGGGCTTAGAGATTAAAAAATATTCCTTATGAGTTATAATACTTCCAAACTAGTTTACCAACAAAAAGCTTTAAATCTAGTCATCTTATGAATCAAGAATTGCTTAAAAAACCAAAAGAATAAATTGACAATTAATAGAGATGGTATTTACATTCACACTTTAATAAAATGAACCTAGCTTTGACATAGTATCAAATTAAAAGATTTGAAAGATCTTTAAAAAAAACGGAATCATTAGATGATGTAAATATGATAAAGAAATAAAATGAGGAAAATATTGAGAAGGAAAAATAAAAAGTATTACTATATTTAGATTATAGAGAAATACATAATACAAAAAAGCAACTCAAAATCTAATACATTCATTTACAAAAAAATTTAACATTAAGGCATTATATAACGATCTTTAACCAACCTAATAATGATTTTAAACTGTGATTATATATTTATATTAAGTTCTTATTTTTAATTTACAATCATTTAGATTAAGTAGAGAATAATTTAATTCATAATTGAATTTATAATTTATGATTATAAATAACTGAAATACAATTTTAAGATTTAAAATACTTCATATGAACTAAGCATTTAGGAATCCAAGAATCTTTTCTTTTTAAGCAATCAATGATTTATTAAATAAAAGGTTAATATGTTGATCAAAGTCATTATAAAAAATAGAGTAAATAATTTATTGAAAGATTTTGAGCAAAGTTTAGTCAAAAAAATGAAAGTATTCTTTCAATATTTTTTTATGATCATTTTCTTCAGACTTATTTCAAGAATAGACTGTTTATACAAAAATGGAAAGCTACTACATTATCAGTAATATTAAATATAGAAATGAGGATCTTAACTCTTTAAAAACAACAGTACTAATATCATTAATGTGTTTCTTACCATAATCTTAACAACTATTAGAAGAATACTTTTATCCTAAAGATGATAAATTATAATTATAATTAAGTTAAAGACCTAAAATTGCTAAGGAATATTTTCGTATTCGCTCGAAAAATGAATTCAACCCAATTAATTTTGATTAAAATATTTCCATAGATATCAATTAATTAATACGTCTTATAGCATCTAATTAGGATAGATAAATCCTACTTTAAGAGGTAAGTTTGTTTAATAAAAAAGTTTGGAAATTAAGAATGAATGCCATGCCTACTATTGGTATATGCATTATTAGCAATGAAATTAAACAAAAATTTATGAATAAAACATTAATTAATATGATTAAAAAGAATTGTATGGATTAGAGTGATTAAAATCTTTAAACTATTCATTTATTATTTATGAATCATCTAAAATTTAAAAAAATTGATAATGTGGGACCTTATGATTTACCTCATTCAGTCATTTTCAAGAATGAAATGTAAAATATAATAAAAGATATAATAGATTTTAGTCAAATAAACGCAAAGTTATTAGATCTTAAGCTCAATCAATTAAATTTATAAAAAATAATTAATGAAATAACAGACTAATTTAAATTTCCATTTTAATTTTAAGTAAATAGGTACCTTTTTGTACGACTCCATTAAAAAACAACAACTACAAGATTAATAATAATAATAATTAAAATTATCATTCACTGGATTAATTCTTTTGTGTTGTAATACTATTTTAAGCGTCGATGATGAAGTTTTTAATTAAAAATCATTATAATTGCTTTTAGGTTAGCAAGGCATCAATTTTGATATTGTAAGAATATTTTTATGTTATGTTAGTTATTTAATGGTAGATAAGCAATAGAGAAAGTATAAAATCCCACTAAATGTTTTTCATCTTGTGTTGGATAGAAGATGATATTGATGGATTGCTAAAGGCCAATAATGGATGGGTGGAAAACAACTTAGAAACTTAGAGAAATGATGCAAAATTAGCAGATACCTAAAGTTCCTATTATAAGCCTCACTGCTTTTACTAGGAATGAGGATGTGGAGTATATACTTCATAAACCATTATATATATAAATAAGTTTAATATCTCTTAACTGAACCTTCCAATTTGATATAAATGCTTATTTTTAAATTATAATCTTATTATGATCAACTAAAATGATTCTTTCATGAATTATTAATTTAATTTAACAACATTATATTTCAACTCAATTAATCTCAAGTTTGTTGGAATCTGCCATAATGAATTAATTAAATTCAATTGTTTTTATTAAAGAAATTTATGAATTTAAGTATTTATAGGATGTTTATTTGTTTAGGCATTTTTAGAGTATTTTGAAAAATATCGTTTTTATTTATTTTTTAATAATAAAAAATGAAATTGGCTGTCGGTTTAGCCATTTTATTGGCAATAGGCAGTTGTACCTCATTCTTGGAAGAACAACAGCCTATGGAAAATAAAATCTATAAGATAAAGCTTGATAGAACTGAATCTTAGGCAAGAAAGTCATTATTTGATTTCATCACAACAAGCTAATAATACAGGAGTTCTGTTGATATAGATGGATCAGAGATGGCAATGACATAAACAAAATAGAAGGAATCCATAAAATTGTACAATTTTAAGAATACTTAATACACAGGAGAAATAGGATTAGGTGGCTAGGATAATAAATTCAAGGTAGTTGAATAAATGAATGTAGGTTATTTTCGACACAGGTTCTGCCAACATTTGGTTGAATTCAGCTAGATGTAATGATTATGGGTGCCAAAACCATAAATAGTATGATGGGTCAAAGAGCTCCACATATGAACATTTAGGATATGATTTAGACGTTGAATTTGGTACTGGAGAATTAATGGGAGAAGTATGAATTTTGATAAATTGGTAGATTAATGCAGATACAGCATATGTTGGTGGAGTGAAGATAGCAAAATAAGAATTTGCTGAGATTGTAAGAGAGAATGGTGATGTATTTGCTTAATCTGATTTTGACGGTATTGTTGGATTAGCATATCCTACAATGGCTGCTTATAACTTCAACCCATTATTTGATAATATAATGTAATAGAAATTGTTGGACAGAAATGTGTTTTCTTTCTATTTTTCAAGACAAGAAGGTTCACGATCATCAGAGTTAACTTTTGGTGGTTGGGATACTGATCACTTCTAAGGAGAATTGCATTTTCATAATGTTGTCAATAAATATTATTGGTTATTGGATGCTGATAACATTTTAGTAAATGGATAGGATTTAGGATTGTGTAAACATGGATGCAAAGTAGTTGCTGATACTGGTACTTCATTATTGACAGGACCATCAGATGATTTATATGATTTATTAGGTATTATTTATTTAAATTAATTTCTTAGACACATTAAATATTGATGAAAATTGTAAAAATGCTAAAGAATTACCAAAATTAACATTTGTTTTGGATGGAATAAATTATGATTTGGATGCTAATGATTATGTGATGAAAATTGATTCATAAGGAAATGAGATTGCTTATGATACTTTTGCAAGCATAGACAGCTTCGTAGAAATGGGAGCAAATTGCTAATGTGTTGGATCATTCATGCCATTGGACATTCCATCACCTCAAGGTCCAGCTTGGATTTTGGGAGACACTTTCTTAAGCAAATTTTATTCAGTGTATGACAGGGACAATGATAGAGTTGGTTTTGCAAGAGCAAAATGATATTTACATATAAATGTAGTTCTATAAAAATATACAAATCTATTAAATTTGAATTATCATGTATTTATATCATGCATATTTTGGACTTTACCCTGATTATTGAATATTTGGTTATGATTGTTAAAATTATATCTATTGAACATTTTCTGTAGCGGATGGATAAATCTATTACCATCCTGTAGAATATTATTGAGTAGTAGTAATAACCTAATCATAGGCAGTGGATGGCAATTATCCATAAGTAGCAGTTGTAGTTTATGGCAATTATCCATAGGCTGAAGTAGTTGTAGCAGGTAATTAACCGTTTATAATCTAAGGGGCCAATTAACCATATGTGGTTATTACTGGCACTCAACCATAAGTAGCTGTTGTTATTGTTGGTAATTAACTATAAGTTGATGTTGCATTTGATAATTATCCATAAATGACTGTTACTGGGAATTAACTATATGTAAATTATTATGGAATATATTGAGTTGTTGTCATTGGAATTGTTGTAGTGAACTAGCTTTATGTTGTAGGAATATATTGATTGGTTGTAGCTGCATATTAAATTTATGCTGGCACTAATTAAGCTAATAAAATTGATTTACCTTAATATTATTATGTTGTCTATATCTATTGATAATCCACTGGCTGTTAAATTACACTCTATTTTGTCACTGCTTAATATTCTGTTCTCTCTTTTACTGTCTTTCCAGGGACATACTCTGCCATAGTCTTCATTAATTACTGATATATTTCTCCTATATAACTTGAGGAATATGTTCTGTCACAAATTCTACTGCATAATAATCTGTAATCTCTCACTCTCTTGGAACATATTCAACAACTTCCTAAGAATTATATTCAGTCACTTTCTTTGTGTAAGGAATATATTTAAGATTCACCTTTTATAACCTGAAACACTTTTTATAGTTTTTACATTTCCTTGACTGACCCCATTAGATTAAATTAAGCCTTATTGACTTCAAACTTATTGTTATAAATAATGAGGATTTGTTATAAATCCAGTTTATTAGATTGGAATTGCTTAATTGATAGCCCCAGATTAAATCTGTGAAGATGCTGGAACCCGACCAGTTTATTTTTAATAACCTTCAGGTATTTATTATTATTCACCCTAACGCAATTATGATGGTGTAGTTTTTGCACTCGGAAGTTGTGATGGACAAGGATTATTCATTAGATCTTTAATTAAATTTATTTTTAATTATTTCACTACTCCACTCAAAGAAGATATAGATTGTTTAATATTTATACTCTGCACATATCATTAATTAAATTATTATGTAATCATTAGTCAAATAACTCCTTACCCTAACCAATACATCTGCTGTAAACTAATGGCAACAAATAGAAACAAGTAAATTTTCATCTTTATTCAGCCCTCCAACCAAAATAATTGACTCCTGCTGAAATAGCTGATGTGGCTCATCATTTTGCTGTTAATAATTAGGGATCTGAAATTTTTTGGGATACATTATAGAGAGCTACTGTCGATCAACTCAACAATTTTAACAGAGAACAATTAGCGACAGTATTTGATGCTATGATGCAAACTCCATATGAAGTATACTCCTTCCTTTTAAATAGGTTCCTGATGATGTTGGAGAGGCTGTGACAAAGGCAATTGATACATTTTTCTATGCTGAATTAGAAGCTAACCAAAAATCTGACCCATACTTTCTTTCAAAATTTATATTACAATTCTAGGCAGGATTAGGATAATTTGCATTCTAATTTGGACCTGGATTCCTAACTGGAAGAGTAAATGATGAGCATCCAGAATAAAAACTTGCTAAAGGTGATTATGATCTCTCAGAATCATGTAATTCTGAATTGAGATCAGCATTTATTAAAGGAGATCTTACTTAAGAATAAGTTGAAGCTGAGAAAACCAAATTTACAAATAAAGTTTAAGAATTGCTTGGCAAAGTAATTAATATAATCTTAAATCAAGAATCAAAATGCATAGGATGTAACCAATTTGAAATGATTGGATAGAAATGCATATAAAATAAATAAAACAAAACACATTTATCTTATGTCTTTGCTTTTAAAACCATTCTTTTTCTTACCATTATTCAATTAAATAAAGAATACTACCTAATATCAATTATAATTTAATTTTATGAATAACAATGTTGAATGAAATGGCTCCTTTCTTTTCAAGAGCTCTTTACATTCAAGGGCCCAAAAAATAAGAATAATTTGGAAGAAAAGATATCCAAGCCTTAAAAGATTAATAAGGATTTAAAGAGAAATAAAGAGGGAAGGATTAATAAGGTAGGAATTAATAGTAAAGCTATAACAGAAAATATGATGGAAATTACAGAAATATGAAGAAAGAAAATTAGGAAATGCAGATGTTGTATTTTCCGAAAAATGCTGATAATTAAAATACTACATAATAATAGCAATAATTCTCTTATGAATATAAATATAAAACTCAAGAATAAGATGAAAAGAATGAAGATTATTCACAATAAAATTAAGAGGATTGATCCTCTTATTAAAAAAAAGTATAATTTTAAGTGTATTGAAAACCTAATGCAAATCAAATAAAAACATAAAATAATAACAAAAAATATTTAATAAAATTAAGAAGAATTAAGCTAATAAAACGTATTCTATTCTCAATAATAGCCATTAAGAAAGCCTACGTTACAAATTTCGATCTCTACACCAGCATAATTTCATAAAATTTGTTTTCAGTGTCAAATCACTTTTCCATATGGACCCGCTAACCTTAACAATTAATCATTCAATAATGCTTTTATTTTATTTAGAAATGGTTAGGGATGAATAAATCCAACAACTTCATATATAGTTTAATATTTAATTTAATCTTCACAAATCAGGAAAATAAAATTAATATTAATTCTTATTGACTTAAATATGATAATAATATGAATTTTAGGAAGATTTAGATGAAAATTATAGAATTTTAAAAGCATAACCAGAACAAAAAAATCTTATCATTTCTTAATAGTAGTTGAATATTTTTTCTATATAATATATTTAATTTTGTAATTAATTTATTCATTTTGTAAACATTTAATGATTAATAAAATTTGATGTGATAATGAGAAGATTATACTTATAATTCGATACAGTAGGATAACTCATATTCTTGATTGTAGGGGAGTGGCATGATTATATTTTTCAAAGTTCAAATATTCTTCTTTTCAAAGTTCAAACCCTTTGCGACTTGGATCAAAATGTAAGAGTGGTTGATCTGGGCATTTTTTTTAATAATTATTAAATATTAAGGTCAAAACTTATTTAATATAAATTTCAACTATATATATTATGTAAAACATTAGTTGGATGTCTAAACAAACAGATCTTAAAGAAACTGATTTTCTTATAAATTTTTTATCTAAATTAGGAGGAATTGTATATGCTGTCATTAAATAACAATATAATTCAATTCAACTATTTTTAATAAGGGACATTCACCATGTCATTAGATTATCCATTGGAATTGACAAGAATAAGTTTAGGTGTAGATTTAGGAACAACAAAGATCTATAGATAATTTTAAGGATTATTTGATTGTTTTAAAAAAATTAATTAAATGTTTTAATAATTAGATTCCTAGATTCGATGGTATAAGAGGATGGTATTAAGAAATAGGTATTTTGTTTGTTAAGGTATGAATAAAATACGATAGTGATTCAAAATCTTTAAAGTTCTTTTATGCCTATTGCTTTGTATTCTTTTCTGAAACCATAAGGGAATGTAAAATAAGATAAATAGTTAGATACATTAAAAAGAAAATTGATAATGTAGTCTGCATGAGCATCAAAAAAATAGAAGAATACTTTGATTGTTTTAATTAGATTATTAAAAGAGATGTTGAGATTGATGGTAGGCAAAACATCTAAGAGGGTAAGAGTGTTGAAAGTTCAAAGTTCTCTTTGCTTGGTTTTATATGGTGAAATGCAAAGGATGACAACAAACTATTAATAGAGATAATCCCATTCATTTTACAAAACTATAACTTGTAACTTGAATAATTTTATTAAATATATTATTTTTTTATTTTTGGAGGCAAAATTGGACTTAATGTATAGTTATCATGTATTTTCATCAATTAATAAAATCTAAACTATTTTATGCTTTCAATGATTTGAGATTTTGTTAGATTAGTATGGATTTACTTTACAAAATTCATAGATTTCAATTCGATAAATTAATCATAAGGACATATAATTCAGCATCATTAGAATTTTCAGAGAAAAAATAAAATGAAACTTAAGCCAAGAGATTCATTTTTTATATTGAATTTAAGATATGCACCTTATTTAAAAAAAAAATTAAGTAAATTCCCTGATGGTTTAATTGGGTAGATTGTATAAATTTCATTCTAGAGAGCATTTTGTTTTATTTTTTTTTCTACTCAGTTCCACCAAGTCAAACTTAAATGAAATATTTAAATCATATTTGTAAAAAGGAAATCTCTCCTGACCAAAATTTGTAATCAAATTAAAATTGTATTTGGAATTTTTTTTAAATTCTTCCCAGATAGTAAACTTTCAAAAAAAATATTTATAATTTTTATTATTAATGTTTCAACCAAAAATAATAGAAAAAGATTTATAACACAAATATCATTCACAATTTGTTAAATTTGTAATCCTAGACTAGAACATATAAATAGATTAAAGACTGATCTTCNATATATTATGTAAAACATTAGTTGGATGTCTAAACAAACAGATCTTAAAGAAACTGATTTTCTTATAAATTTTTTATCTAAATTAGGAGGAATTGTATATGCTGTCATTAAATAACAATATAATTCAATTCAACTATTTTTAATAAGGGACATTCACCATGTCATTAGATTATCCATTGGAATTGACAAGAATAAGTTTAGGTGTAGATTTAGGAACAACAAAGATCTATAGATAATTTTAAGGATTATTTGATTGTTTTAAAAAAATTAATTAAATGTTTTAATAATTAGATTCCTAGATTCGATGGTATAAGAGGATGGTATTAAGAAATAGGTATTTTGTTTGTTAAGGTATGAATAAAATACGATAGTGATTCAAAATCTTTAAAGTTCTTTTATGCCTATTGCTTTGTATTCTTTTCTGAAACCATAAGGGAATGTAAAATAAGATAAATAGTTAGATACATTAAAAAGAAAATTGATAATGTAGTCTGCATGAGCATCAAAAAAATAGAAGAATACTTTGATTGTTTTAATTAGATTATTAAAAGAGATGTTGAGATTGATGGTAGGCAAAACATCTAAGAGGGTAAGAGTGTTGAAAGTTCAAAGTTCTCTTTGCTTGGTTTTATATGGTGAAATGCAAAGGATGACAACAAACTATTAATAGAGATAATCCCATTCATTTTACAAAACTATAACTTGTAACTTGAATAATTTTATTAAATATATTATTTTTTTATTTTTGGAGGCAAAATTGGACTTAATGTATAGTTATCATGTATTTTCATCAATTAATAAAATCTAAACTATTTTATGCTTTCAATGATTTGAGATTTTGTTAGATTAGTATGGATTTACTTTACAAAATTCATAGATTTCAATTCGATAAATTAATCATAAGGACATATAATTCAGCATCATTAGAATTTTCAGAGAAAAAATAAAATGAAACTTAAGCCAAGAGATTCATTTTTTATATTGAATTTAAGATATGCACCTTATTTAAAAAAAAAATTAAGTAAATTCCCTGATGGTTTAATTGGGTAGATTGTATAAATTTCATTCTAGAGAGCATTTTGTTTTATTTTTTTTTCTACTCAGTTCCACCAAGTCAAACTTAAATGAAATATTTAAATCATATTTGTAAAAAGGAAATCTCTCCTGACCAAAATTTGTAATCAAATTAAAATTGTATTTGGAATTTTTTTTAAATTCTTCCCAGATAGTAAACTTTCAAAAAAAATATTTATAATTTTTATTATTAATGTTTCAACCAAAAATAATAGAAAAAGATTTATAACACAAATATCATTCACAATTTGTTAAATTTGTAATCCTAGACTAGAACATATAAATAGATTAAAGACTGATCTTCAATGCGTGTTTAAATACCTTGAAACTAAAAAATAGTAAATATTTTTAAACACTCGAACTTTGATGATTCAAAAATTAAAAATTAAACAATATGAAATAATTGTTACTCCTCAAATTTAGATTTTGGAGTAAATTAGAGAAACAGTAAAAGAGTTAATTGAAAAGATTGAGTTAATGAATATTGATGATCTCCAATTAAACCAATTAACCTAAATTAGATAAATAAATATTCAGTTCTTTTGTTATTATTAACCTTTTGGAATGTATGTAAATATTTAAGAGCTTAAACTTGATTTAATCATTTAAATATAATTTCATCTAAGAAATCAACTATTTCAAAAATCTTTAGAAAATGAATAAAATAAAATCTTCCTTGCTAAGATGGAGATCTATTAAAATAGCCGAGAATTTATAAATTAAAGTATTAAAATATATTTTACACAAATATATATATATACTA